GGAGGTAAGGTGGGCTGGTAGGAGCCATGGTGGGCTGGTAGGAGCCATGGTGGGCTGGTAGAAGGCATGGTGGGCTGGTAGAAGGCATGGTGGGCTTGTAGGAGGCATGTTGGGCTGGTAGGAGGCATAGAGGGGCTGGTAGGAGGCATTGAGGGGGCATGTAGGAGGTAAGGTGGGCTGGTAGGAGGCATGGAGGGCTGGTAGGAGCCATAGTGAGAAGGTAGGAGGCATAGAGGAGCTAGTAGGAGCCATGGTGGGCTGGTAGAAGGCATTGTGGGCTGGTAGGAGGCATGGAGGGGCTGGTATATGGGTCATATATTGCCCAAACCCCCTTGCAGTTTTCAAAATATCTGAAATGTCGAAAACTTGACTCCTGAGCGTGATTTGTGAGCCGAATTCTGACTCTCTGCACCTATTTTCATTTTTAAATTACGAGTTTTTATACCGAAAATATGCCAATTACTGAAACGGCGATAGGTCATATTTTGCCCAAACCCCCCTGCAGTTTTCAAAATATCTGAAATATCGAAAATCTGACTCCTGAGCGTGATTTTTCAGTCGAAGTCTGACTCTCTGCACCTATTTTCATTTTTAAAGTACGACTTTTTATACCGAAAATATGCCAATTACTGAAAACAACGATGGGTCATATTTTGCCCAAACCCCCCTGCAGTTTTCAAAATATCTGAAATATCGAAAATTTGACTCCTGAGCGTGATTTTTCAGTCGAAGTCTGACTTTCTGCACCTATTTTCATTTTTAAATTACGACTTTTTATACCGAAAATATGCCAATTACTGAAAACAACGATGGGTCATATTTTGCCCAAACCCCCCTGCAGTTTTCAAAATATCTGAAATATCGAAAATTTGACTCCTGAGCGTGTTTTTTGAGCCGAATTCTGACTCTCTGCACCTATTTTCATTTTTAAATTACGAATTTTATACCAAAAATATGCCAATTACTGAAAACAACGATGGGTCATATTTTGCCCAAACCCCCCTGCAGTTTTCAAAATATCTGAAATATCGAAAATTTGACTCCTGAGCGTGTTTTTTGAGCCGAATTCTGACTCTCTGCACCTATTTTCGTTTTTAAATTACGAATTTTTATGCCGAAAATATGCCAATTACTGAAAACGGCGATGGGTCATATTTTGCCCAGACCCCCCTGCAGTTGGTGGTGGGGGGGGGGGGCTAGGGAACCTTTTACCAGGAGAAATGGTGGGCTGGTAGGAGCCATGGTGGGCTGGTAGGAGCCATGGTGGGCTGGTAGGAGCCATGGTGGGCTGGTAGGAGCCATGGTAGGCTGGTAGGATCCATGGAGGGCTTGTAGGAGCCATGGTGGGCTGGTAGGAGCCATGGTGGGCTGGTAGGAGCCATGGAGGGCTGGTAGGAGCCATGGAGGGCTGGTAGGAGGCATGGTGGGCTGGTAGGAGTCATAGTGGGTTGGTAGGAGCCATGGTGGGCTGGTAGGAGCCATGGAGGGCTGGTAGGAGCCATGGAGGGCTGGTAGGAGCCATGGAGGGCTGGTAGGAGCCACGGTGGGCTGGTAGGAGCCACGGTGGGCTGGTAGGAGCCATGGAGGGGCTGGTAAGAGGCATAGTGGGCAGGTAGGAGACATATTGGGCTGGTAGGAGGCATGGTGGGCAGGTAGAAGGCATAGTTGGCTGGTAGGAGGCATGGTGGGCAGGTAGGAGGCATTGTGGGCTGGTAGGAGCCATGGAGAGCTGGTAGGAGGCATGGTGGGCAGGTAGGAGGCATGGTGGGCTGGTTGGAGGCATGGTGGGCTGGTAGGAGGTATGGAGGGGCTGGTAGGAGCCATGGTGGGCTGGAAGGAGGCATAGAGGGCTGGTAGGAGCCATATTGGGCTGGTAGGAGGACTGGTAGGAGCCATGGTGGGTTGGTAGGAGGCATGGTGGGCTGGTAGGAGCCATGGTGGGCTGGTAGGAGGCATAGAGGGCTGGTAGGAGCCATATTGGGCTGGTAGGAAACATGGTGGGCTTGTAGGAGGCATGGTAGGCAGGTAGGAGGCATTGTGGGCTAGTAGGAGCCATGGAGGGCTGGTAGGAGGCGTGGTGGGCAGGTAGGAGGCATGGTGGGCTGGTTGGAGGCATGGAGGGGCTGGTAGGATCCATGGTGGGCTGGAAGGAGGCATATTGGGCTGGTAGGAGGACTGGTAGGAGCCATGGTGGGTTGGTTGGAGGCATTGTGGGCTGGTACGAGGCATACTGGGCAGGTAGGAGGCATGGTGGGCTGGAAGGAGGCATGGTGGGCTTGTAGGCGGCATTGTGGGCTGGTAGGAGGCATGGAGGGGCTGGTAGGAGCAATTGTGGACTGGTAGGAGGCATGGTGGGCTGGTAGGAGGCATGGTGGGCTGGTAGGAGGCATGGTGGGCTGGTAGGAGGCATGGGAGGCAGGTAGGAGGCATGGAGGGGCTGGTGAGAGGCATTTTGGGGTGGTAGGAGGCATGGAAGGGCTGGTAGGAGGCATGGTGGGCAGGTAGGAGGCATGGTGGGCTGGTAGGAGGCATGGGAGGCAGGTAGGAGGCATGGAGGGGCTGGTGAGAGGCATTTTGGGGTGGTAGGAGGCATGGAAGGGCTGGTAGGAGGCATGGTGGGCTGGTAGGAGCCATAGTGAGAAGGTAGGAGTGTAACACTGTAAAAGTGTTTGGTTTAGTTTAATACATACATAGAGTACATGAGTCACAGACAAGGATCTGAGAGGCGCCAGTTTGTCGGCCTGAAACTCACACCTCTAAGCGTTAATGACCCCAAGTGACCTGAGGTCAGATCATGCGAATTTCACCTTGCTTCTGATAATCTGATAATTGTAGCCTGGTAGCCTTCAAACATGCCGACGTTTAAGGAGTGGCTTGGTAGAGTGCCGGAGGCTATCTATTTGTGGGCGGAGTTAGCTACTAGGCTCCCCAATAAATACTCGGAGAACTATCGATTCGAGAGCATTTTAAGCAATAGGAGACCAGCCAGTGGAGCAGAGCAGAGGCCAGCCGTCGAGATAGGCCGTCACCAGACGGGGGGTGGCGCTGCTTGAAATTGCAGACTCCCCCCCCCCCTCTCTATTCAACTTAGACTCAGTCCTCGGTGAGTGAACATTTAGGTGACTTGGTCGTGTTTTACAAGTGTTGTGTGACGATCAGGGGCAGTCAGTTGTAGTGCTCTCAGATTCTTGGAGGATGACTCACTTTGAATATTAATAATGGAGGGGTGGTAGGAGGCATGGTGGTAAGGTAGGAGTCATGGTGGGCTGGTTGAAGGCATGGTGGGCTGGTAGGAGGCAAGGTGGGCAGATAGGAGGCATGGTGGGCTAGTAGGAGCTATGGAGGGGCTGGTAGGAGCCATGGTGGGCTGGAAGGAGGCACAGAGGGCTGGTAGGAGCCATATTGGGATGGTAGGAGGATTGGTAGGAGCCATGGCGGGTTGGTTGAGGCAGGGAGGGGCTGGTACGAGGCATACCGGGCAGGTAGGACGCATGGTCGGCTGGTAGGAGCCATGGTGGGCTGGTAGAAAGCATGGTGGGCACGTTGCAAGCACGGTGGGCTTGTAGGAGGCATGTTGGGCTGGTAGGAGGCATATAGGGGCTGGTAGGAGGCATTGAGGAGGCATGTAGGAGGTAAGGTGGGCTGGTAGGAGGCATAGAGGGCTGGTAGGAGCCATAGTGAGAAGGTAGGAGGCATGGAGGAGCTAGTAGGAGCCATGGTGGGCTGGTAGAAGGCATTGTGGGCTGGTAGGAGGCATGGAGGGGCTGGTATATGGGTCATATATTGCCCAAACCCCCCTGCAGTTTTCAAAATATCTGAAATGTCGGAAATTTGACTCCTTAGTGTAATTTTATATATTATATATAATGTATATATAATGTATATATATACATTATATATATACATATAATATATATAACGCTAATGCTACCTGATATATATATACCTGATATATTATATATAATGTATATATATATATAATATATAATGTATATATATATAATATATAATGTATATATATATAATATATAATGTATATATATATAATATATATATATATATATATATATAATGTATATATATAATGTATATATATAATGTATATATATAATATATAATGTATATATATTATATATAATGTATATATATATATATATTATATATATAATGTATATATATATATTATATATAATGTATATATATATATTATATATATAATGTATATATATTATATATAATGTATATATATTATATATAATGTATATATATATATATTATATAATGTATATATATATATATATATAATTATATATAATGTATATATATATTATATATAATGTGTATATATATATATATATATATATATATATATATATATTATATATCATGTAGGCCTGCTACAGCTTTATCTGGGTGAGTTTTTTCAACAAAACTTTGCAGTTCTTCCCATACAGTACAGTACTTCACACATTTTCTTAATGACAAAGGCTTCTACTGCCTCTACTCACAACTATTTTCTTAGGCTGAACTTTACCACTGACTTTCTTCTTTCTTTCACTGACAGCCTTACCCATGGTGAGATATATAATAATTACTTTTATGTTCAAATACCCAAAAATCCAAAAAATGCTGAAATTCTTTAGAAAGAATTCAGGCGCGATTGTCACTAGGCAGGAGGTGCGGTTGCCATGCCACCACACACTAGGTCGGCCATATGCATATCAACAAACTACGTTACCCGAGGCAAAGTTCGTAACCCGATTTGGATTTACAAAGAAATTGGGCTCGTAACCCGAAAAGTTCGTAAAGAGGGGCATTCGTAAGCCAAGGTGTAACAGTACTTAATATTTATATGACGTATGATTTAGTCATACAATCATGAGTGACTAATATTTTCACTTTAGTACTTTTCATATCTCAAAGTGATTGGCTCCCACTGCTTATACAGCAATAATTTACATAGCAATTGCAAGGGGTTGCTGTAATAATAAAATGCAATATAAAAATGAGTTTTAATGATAAAATGATGATAATGTTGTATGATACATTAACTGAGATTTCTAAACATCAATATAGACAACATTTATATTATCTAACTTAAAATAAAAGAGAACAATGTCTGCAGTCACCTACAATATCTCTTGTACTACACGCAACCTGTCCATAATGAAAGGGCAATGGACTGTAATACCAGATATGAACTAAAATTTACATACATGTGTGGGAATGTTAAATTCAATATGCTTAGACTAAATTTTGAATAGGGAACACATTCTAAAGAAGATAATTGTGCATTAGCAGTTGAGCTAAACCTCAACAAATCTTTTCATCTGCAAATGCCCATTGCCAACATAAACACTACTCATTCCTTTCAAAGTGTATCGTACTTTTATACCTAACCAATTTGACGTACAACATTGTATATTACACCCTGAAATAATTATTCTTATGTTACTAGTGCTACTTTTCATTATTAAAATCATGTACAGATAAGAAATCCTATATAAAGATATCCCAAAGCTTACCTTTGTTACCAGTGGCAAAATAGCTCCTGAAGAATTTGCATGTACACTATATCCACTTTCCAAAATGTTTTATAAATTAGCAAATATTTCAAATTGTGAGGTGCTACTGGTGAACCTGTGCCATGGAAGGCGCTGGGGAATGAGCTGGACTTGCCCCTTGCGTCAGCTGATGTAAGGCATGCTGACGTGCTCGCATCTCTGCAGCTTTCAACTGTTCCAGATGAAACTGTTGACGTTCCTGTAATAATTGCTGACGCTGCAGCTCCAAGCTCTCTCGTTCCCTATCCATTATGGTCTCGAGTTCTTCAAAGTGGCGGAGTTTGATTTCAAGCTTCTTCATTTGCGTCTCAACCAGAAGTGCAACCAAAGATTTTATTTTTCTTTCTTCTACTGCAGCTAGATGTTTTGCTTTTACAGCAGCTGATCCCAAAGCAGCACTGGCTGCTTGCTGGACAGAAGCATCCTTACGTAACCTCTCACGCTCTGCATCTAATTTCTTTTCTTCAGGGCTGATCTCTTCTTTCCTCTCGTCTTTGGTTTCCCCCTTTTCATCCTTCTTGTCTTCTTCTTCACCCTCTTTTTTCTCCTCTGTTTTTTTCTCATCTGATTTATCAACTTCCATTGACTCGTCTTTCTTTTCTTTCTCACCTTCATCCTTCTTTTCTTCTTCTTTCTTCTCAGAATCCTTTTTGGCATCATCTTTCTTTTCTGTCTCTGGTTCACCTTCCTTCTTTTCCTCTCCCTCTGGCTCAGTTCCAGCAATACCTGATTTACCCAAACCAGCAGTTGGATCCACTTTGCCCTCATTAGTGGCTGCATGATCAGCAACATTCTTAATATGAGAATCGAGAAGGGCCGCAGGAACTTCATCTTTAATTCTGCAAAATTCATCCATGGCTGCTTTTGCAGCTGAAGCTGCAATTCGAGGATCAACTACTGAAGCTAGAAAGGCAACAGTGGACATAATTGGGTTGCCTGATTTACTGAAAGGAATAGGCTGATATGCCAAAGGTCCTAGTGCATTTGGTGTTGCTCCCGAACCAACTTCAGAATCTTCCAAATATGGGTCCTCAATGGGAAGACGAAGGAATTGAAGGATACATTCATCCTGTGTTCTGGTTCCTACATGTTCACATACTTTGTTCCAGTCATCTTTGTACATCTGTAAATAAGGTTTAGCAATCAATAACAAAGTTAAAGGAAAAATAACTTGCATTAATAATTTACATTAATCAAATAGTTATGTATTAAGTTAAATCTTATAATGGAAGGATTAACTCGGACTAAATATGCAGAGGAAATTAATATAGGACATAGATGTACATTAATACAAATTAAAAAGGAGCATAACAATATATACCAGTCTAAATAGTAATAATCTATGAATACAACATCCACTTGTCAGTCTCTCCATATGATAGAAAACTACTCCATTTGTATACTTGTCGATAATTAACTACCTCTTAATTATCTACAAGTATTGCACAATATTCTGCAGCATTTTGACTGCAACAATGGCTATGCATGTCAATTATGAAAACTGTAATTTAATTAGCATTTCATAACAAACACTCACTTCAAGAGCTTCCAGAAGAAGTAGAGTTTCTTGCTCTGTCCATTCACGAGCTTGACTGGCTGCCGATTTGTTTTTGAGAGCTCCTGTTTTCTTGGAATACTGGTCAAGCTTCAATCCAAAGTCAGTGCCAATACTGAAATCTGGCTTTTTATCTATAGGCTTCTTGTCAAAATCCATCATATGTTTAGCTGCAATAGGCTGATTTACCTGCAGGTATGGAATATAAATTTGAGCACAATACAGTACATAAAAATGACTTATAAAATGTGTGCACTTGTCTAAAAAATATGAGTACATATCTAAAATGTGTGCACGTGTCTAAAATGTGTGCACGTGTTTAAAATGTGTGCACGTGTCTAAAATGTGTGCACGTGTCTAAAATATGTGCACGTCTAAAATGTGTGCACGTGTCTAAAATAGTGCATATCTACCTTACCTTGTGATTAGCTTGTGTTGGTCTCTAGGATCTCCATCCCCATGACCCGGCCTCTGACCAGACCTCCTGGTTTGTAGTCTGGTCAACCAGACTGTAAGATTCACAGCTTGGTTGATTAAGTATACATTAAGGATGTTCATTGAGGTCTCTTTTGAACACCATAAGTTGTTGGCCAGTTATGCCTTTTAAGTTTAAAGGGAGTGTTGAAGTCAAGGGCCCTTGATGTTGATAGAGTTGCCTCTCAGCATACCTACAGCACCTCTGCCTTTCAACAGGCCTACTTTACACTTCCTGCCATGCCTTCTGGTCTCATATGGTGTTATTAACGTGTGCAACTTTGGGACCAGTCCCTTTAATAGTTTCCTAGTGTAAATGATTATTATCTCTCTGCTAAGGAATGCCGATTTAAAATTTTTAAGGAGTCCCAATAATTTAGATGTTTTATTGAGTGGATTCTAGCAGTAAAAGATCTTTGCACATTCTCCAGGACAGCAATTTCTCCAACTCTGAATAGGGCACATAATTAAAAGTGAATAAGCTACTAACCTTCAGAAGTCACACATGTGAAATATGTGGATACAGACCTTGGGAGGGTTGATGGACTGAAGCCCAGCTGGAGTGTCTGCTAAAACATGGAAGTGAGAAGTGGGTGGAGGCCCCATTGGTGTAGGTCTGGCATCGGCATCAACCTATACGAGATATCATCATGCTGGTAAGTGACAAATCTCAGTTAAAAAACATACTAACACATATAGATGACTGAAACAAGAATACAAAAACACTTATCAAGCATGCATAGATGAACTACAGAGACCAGCAACAAGAGATTAGAGAAAAATTACTGATTATAGGGGACCTAGATCATGGAGACACATTAGTAATTGAGAAATCTTAAATAGTGGATAAGAAACATGCGGAGCAAAATTAGTGCAGGTATGCACTAATGTTATTCAAAGAAACTTCTTAACACAACACAACATAAGGTATCCATACCAGGGATACCTAATTACTACTTTTACCCTTTCAGTTATTCACCTCACACGTTATTTATTAAATATCCCTATATAGTACTGTACTTAAAATAACTCTTTCAGTGCACAAATTTCTCAATTCATCATCTATATCTGATGCTATTTATACCCCTCACATCATTCTCGGAGCTTATTCCTACTATGCCATTCAAATCTCTCATCACAATTAATGTCACATAAGTTTTGCACTGATCTTGTTTCCTAAATTACACTAAACAAAAATGTTTAATTCTCAATTCTATTATCACACAGACCCTATGGAATCACAGCCACAATGATTTCAAATCAGAATTTCATGCACACACAACTATATGTATTGAACACCAACAAAAGAAATCATCTATCGCCTCCTTCCACACTTCATTAAGTAACAGGTAAATTCCTTACTCAATGTGTCACTCACACTTATAATACTTACAAGTGTGAGTGACTAATTTCAATCCTTCACTAATCACTGTCACTTCTTTTCAGCTTTGTCTTGCATATACATACTACATCAAACTTTTCTTTCTTAAAACATTTAAATATTTTTCTGTCTCATTTATAACATTCCACGAGATGTAGAAAAGAACTTTCAAACAGCAATTTACAATGTACCACATAGACGTCAATACCCAAACTGAATGAACATTACAATATACAGTACATAGGAATATGTATCATCGCTAAAAAGAGCAATATTAAATTTAAAGTGGTCAAGTAGCATCACCAACAGTCTTGATCAATATTTTAGTGCTAAAATGTGATGCAAAATAATGAGAGAGAACAATTATGGATGCATACACTGGAGAAGTCCATTATGCAACAGAAGGTAAGAAAAATACAACTACCCAGCAACGTCTGACAACTACAAGTATAAATAATTCTCGTGAGGCACCAACAAAAGAAATTTAGGCACGTATTGTACCAGTGGAGAAAATGGGAGAGAAGACCAAGTAGCAATCCAGCGCAAAAGTGGAGAGAATAGTAGCTCAAGAGTGAGAGAGGACTGAAATCAAATACTTGGTGTATAAATGTATAACATTTCTCTAGACACTTCCACGGCAAGTGGGGTATATAAGGCGAACACAATTCAGCGATTATAACCACTGTAAGAAAGTAGCCCAGAGGGCAGGGGAACAAAACAAATTGGTCAGAGTACAAGATGAAATTAAAATACTGTACAGGCCCATTAAAATCAGATTACAATAAGCAGTATTCTGTAATTTCTTGGTATCATACAAATCTAAGAAAAAAAATCACTTTTGTCATCAGATACAGTATATGAAATTTATTCTATTTTTTGCATATTAATTTCACACACACAACTTGCACTGTGTTGTAAGTCATTCACTGACACAAACTAGTCTATTCATTAAAATAAATACTGTACATACTGCATCATAATTTATTACACTTTTTCTTCCTCCTCCTATCTAAGAAAATTACCTGGTAGTTAATCAGCCCCCACTGTTCAAGAAATGCGTGCACACGCATCACCGCACATACATCTCCAGCAAGGTTGCGACGACATGCAGTGGATGTTAAATATTCAGTTGGGTTTAATCTGAAAAAAATACATATAAATAAAATATATACATAAAGTATACAGTATATGACATTTATATGACAACAAAAAATTATGGCTCTGTTTAAATTAAGTACTGTATTCTGATTTATATACTTTTTTAAATAAATGTGACTAACCTGTAAGTATCAATCATGAAATTTCTGTATGCCAGGTATATTTCAGGTGTTTTTGACTTGTTCTTGCCATTAAAAAATTCAGGAAGTCCTCTCTTCTCAATAGCATGAATGGCATTGTAATCAAACCAAGCAGCATAGCTTGGGACAATAATGTGGTGGGTCTGGTCTGTGGCGGTATCCTCGCTGTCTGGGACCGGCTGAAAAAAGGACAATAAAAATAATTAAAATATGAATAGGAAACAACAAAAGCTCGCACATCCTCACAATCTGGAACACAACCAGGCATTTCCCCAACACTCTACACAGTACAGTACTGTATTTCCACAGCTGTCAGTTGAGCTTCCAGTGCTAATGAAACAGTATCAATTCACTTAAAACCTGTTGCAGAACTTGCACCTTAGTTCTTCAAAACAAGATTTTACTGTACATGTATGCATGTGTATACTGGGTACTCTACACGCTGAAATCTTCAAGTGAATTAATTGGGGCACGGAGAAATATATTGGTTTTATGATTTTTGGTGTAACATCTAAATAACAAAAAGTGCTTTTATAAAGCAAATAATATATATTTGTACATACAGTAATTGATGCCAAAAATGTACGAAAAGTAAATATTAATTATAGCGAAGTACCACATATCCATTGGTATCCAGTATACAATAGGTTACTGTGAGTGCTTTTATACATAAAAATATATTCATATAAGTGAATAAGTCCAGGTAGTACACAAGCAAATGTTCTAATAATTTTATTATGACCGAGAGGCCTTGTGGTTCATGTGTTGACTTCTGAGGGGTGGGGGGTACCTTTGTCCACTACTAGGGCAGTAAGCATTGTATCATGAAGTATCACTCTTTTCATTTCAGAATTTATCATGAAAATTTATCAACAGCCCTTCAATATAATGACATGATATTTTCTTTTTGTTAAGTTGCACAAACTCAGTTACTTTCTGATGACCTTCTTGTTTTACTCATGGCATATGTATGCCTGCACTTCATTAATGCATCCAAGCTATTTCTTTGTAATATAAAGAAAATGAAAAGAAAGTAGATATGTTTTGATCACAAAATGTAATCGCATTTCCCTTATGGTGTAGATATCACCTAGTCTTTCCCCCCATTTTTCCATCTCCATTACTTTGCATATGAGACTGTATCCTGGCAACCATTTGTTATCCCATTCCTACAGCTTGTCAAGGTGTTGGTGGTGGTGATATGTACTATGTAGTGAGTCATATATGGTGATGGGGGTATGTGATGGTAGTGGCATGTGGGTGTGTGTGTGGGGTCAGAAATGGTAGTGTCAAATTGCTTGTCTGGTAGGGTCGAGGGATTTAGTGGTATGATTATCAAGTATCATGAACTTTCACAATTTGGACAGAGAGCTGAAAATAAATATGGTTATTTATAACTGTTTCGACCATACTCACTGGGCTAGGATCAAAAGCTCTTTGTCCAGGAAACTAGACTCACATATCATAGCCACAAGAAAAAGACAGATACTCATTAAATAAAAAAGAACTAGGATATTTTCCAATCAGGACTGGGAACTAGGAGTGCTGACAAAATTTTTTTACTATGGCCCTCAATTTTGCAGTGGTAACATAAGCCAGCTTGCCATGAAAGGAAGAAGGCAGCGGCAGCTATTCAAACACAAATACGCCTCACATATCCACTGGTAAAATAAACCATCAACCCAACAAGCAAAATGCAGGAAGCAAAAAGGGTTGCTGTCGGTCTAAAAATTCAAACTGGCACCCATCTATTATGCACAAGACAGAAGTTTACATAATGCTGGCATTTCATGAGCAACCAAACACTATTCTAATCTAGGGCAAACAAGACCCATGATGGGTCTTGTTTGCCCTAGATTAGAATAGTGTTAAATCCCTCGACTCTAGGATTCCTCTAGGATTGACGTCCCTCAGAGAAGTCAGAAGCTTGAAATCATAGCCCACTCACCCTACAGATAAAAGGGACAAGATATGACCAGTATGTATACTTTAGCTGGGTTGTACCTTCCCTACTTGATTGAAAGGAATGGCAACTATATTTGGTGTAACAGCAAACCTTAAAATTCAAAACCCAATGTAGGATTTGTGTTCAATGTGGTACAGGCTCACTGAGCTAAACCACTACTGTGCACCACTTGACAATGATAACAGGGAATCATCAAAGCCCTGTAAACACATGCAAATTTGAGTGTTGCATACGGTGAGACCCTGCCCATAGGTAACTAAATTCTAACAAGGAAAATGTAAACTTTGCTGAAAATCAGGTCCTAGCCTGTGAACAGCTCATAGGATAAGTCGGGAAGTACACAAGGGTCTGTGGGGAGCTTAAGGTGTGGCTGGCGCTACTGCCTGATGGCAGTCAGCTTAAGGTGTGGCTGGTGCTGCTGCCTGATGGCAGTCAGCTTAAGGTGTGGCTGGTGCTGCTGCCTGATGGCAGTCACCTTGGGTTACCATAAGGTCAACTTGTAATCACCTGTGATCGTGAGAGGAGTCCTGTAGGTCTTTGATTTTTATGAAATGAGCCACTTTCTAGCTATTTTGTGCTAGAAAAAACTCCAGAACTGCCTAGCATCTATGATCCTGCAGGAATAGATTAATAAGATATCTGTGACACCAGTACTCTGTATGTTCCTGTCCAAGGATCCAAAGAAACTTACTTTAAGAAGCAGCAAAATGTGACAGCTCATACAGTGAGTTTCTGATATTTTAATTTCCCAGATTCCAAACACTTGGTGACCACTTTTGACTGGTGTTCTCCTTGTGGATCCCAAACACTATGTGATGACTGCTTAAATGCTCAGGGATGGTTACTAAATATATGACTATTACTCTAGTGGGAAATCTGATTGAAAAGAACGAATTATACCCATACTAAAACCAAAAAAAACCTTATCGGTTCATAGTAAATTGAATCCCACGTTTTCATGGGGTAAAACTGCTCGGTCCAAAACTGCTTTGGTCCTAGTGGACCAAACTCTCACAAGTCGAGCCTGGCCTCGGGCCGGGCTTGGGGAGTAGAAGAACTCCCAGAACCCCATCAACCAGGTAACCAGGTATCAGGTCCATGCAAGGGGTTAATGCAAAGAAAAAATTATATATATACACAGTACCATAATCACACACACAACTGTTTTGCATGCTGTAATGAACGTTTCCACAAAGAATGATGGGATGCTGTAGAGAATTTTGTCCTGAAGTGAGATGTATTGATTAGGTACAAAATTGCTAGATAAATCTGGTTTCAAAACATGTATATATCTAGGAATCAGCTTGTAATATTACCAAAGGTTTTTATGTACAAGAAAATTCCAAGAAGGGTTAATAAGACATCATAACACAAACTTAAAAAACAAAAACTGAATATGGAAAATTAATTTCTAGTCACAATTTTCACCTAATATAAATTCTGTCCATGTTAAATTGTCTGGCACTTTAACATCGAGGTAAACTGTACACTTTACCCGTTACCAGAAAACCCACCAGTCCTCTTGTACCAAGTCTAACAAGTCAAACTTTCTGCCCAATTAATTTTGTTTTATTTATGTATGTATTTAAATATTTAATCAATATATTATGTAAACTTTAATTCTGAACCAAAATTAACTCTGCAACCAAATATAATTTAAACATGTTTGCATCATATACATACATGTATTCGTGTGACCCCATCCCTGCCTCCCCCCTTCACCACAGACACACACACATACATGCACGCACACATACACACACACACACGTGCACTCACACACACACAGGATCATCTTGGGTTCTGTGCTCATAAGTATATTTATTAAAGGAAAATTAGCAAATGTTTGGAAGACATAAAACATTGTTCCAATTAATACAAAATATGGCGACAAGACTCTCAAATTTGATCAGTATTACTGACAGTGTAGTAGATAAATCATAAGAAAAGGTAATAAAAGTTAAATAAATACATATAGTAGAACATCTTGAAAGAAAACAAAATAGCAAATACTGTTTATAGATATTTGTAAATTGCTGAGATCTTAAGAGTTGGAAATTAAAATATATCTGGATCTAAAAAAAATACATATATATATCTAATAAACTACCACAGCAGACATATATATAGTATTTATATAAATTATCTAACTGTAAGAATCCCATCACCTAACATATTTGCAGATAATACTATAAATTAAATGCGTACAACACTCTTGAAAATAACCTACGCTAAATAGGCTCAAGCAGAAGTAAATAGCTAAATGAATTTAATGTAGACAAATGCCATATAATGGAGTTTAAATAAGTGGAACCAGGCCACATTCACCTAATAATAAAAGACAATAAAGAACATAAGCCAGAGAAAGAAACTCAAGGGTGGCCCTTCATAGTAAAGAACATCATGTCAAAGGCAAAGTCAAAGGGCAATGACAATTTCGGAATTGCTTGAAGCATGTGGATGGAGAAACCTTCATAAAACCTGTCATAACAAACATGAGATCCACGTTAGAATAGGCAGCAGTAGCTTAATGTCCACACTTAAAACAAATTGGAAGACTATAGGAAAAAATAGGCAATATGATAACCATGTTCAAATGTTTTGATGGGCATCACCAAAATTTACGATAAATTTGTGAAACCCACAACATTGAGAATAAGAGGACACAGAACACACGTACCATAGAAGCACATCATAGAAAATATCTTTTTGCAAACAGGAGGAATAACTGACAAGAGGGGATAGCACGTGTCATCACCATTGTGAACTTGAAAATTCTGCTCGACAAAGAATACAAGATGGGAGACCACAAGCTTAGCACACATCCAGGAACCACATTCAAGTAATAACATACATATAATATATGCATGCATGTATGCATTCCAGAACACCTTGCTTAACAATGATCCATGAAGATTTTTGTTAAGATCTTATGGGAAAAATAGGATACGTTCCGAGATAAAGAATTTTATTATATAAAAAATAAAAATAATATATTTACTATGAATTTCAGTTTAAATTGCCACAATAGAACAATGAGCTGCTATGATGACAAAAAGTCTAAGCTTTCCTTTGTTGAGAGTGGTTTTCCATGGCCTTGATATCAATTTCGAATGCTTTTCTGATGTGGTGTATAACCTCTGAAGCAAGTTCAAAATTGGAGTCACTATCAGCAGTTTTGAGGTAAGAGTTTGTTGATTCCACAAACTGCCTTACTGATTATATGTACAGGTCTCTTAACAGTAGTTCTAATTTCATTATGCTTCTTTGGTAGCAAATGTTTTAATCAGCACAAGTGCCTCTAGGGTTTGAACATTGTGTTGAATCTAAAGATACTCTTGTGATGTCATCAGAAACCAAATTGCCAAGCCTTTTCCCAGAAACACAGTTGATGATCTTGATAACGATGCATGCTTTGATGGTGCCGGGGAAAATGGAGATTAGGGAGAGTTTCTGGACACGGAAGTTTCCAAACCCTATTAAGACCGGCTGGAGTGACCTTTTTCCAAGTCACTGATAAGGATTGCATTGTTCTATGGAATTTTTTTTCCAGAAGCAAAAATTTCATATCAACAATGTGCCAATATCTCCTAAGAGAACCTAGTTCAGGTATTCTCTTGACTTGAGCAATCACACCTTGATCTGGTGGCTGTAGAAGTGGTGGTTTTTAGGTGGAAAGATTTTATGGAGGTAACCTTAGTTGACATCAGTATTCTTTAGGGATTGTGGGTGGTTGGGAGCAGTCTAGAAATGAGATGGCTTTGCTTGTCAAGCTTTTTGTCCCCAGGTACATGTTTACAGCATTAGTTAACTTATGCTGGTACCAGTCACCAAAGATTGTAGACATGATCCAAGCCTTGCTGTTAGCTCACCATACCACTGGTAGATGTGTGATGTTCTTGAGTGTACAAGGACAGAGACCTGGTACATCTGCATAGGAGTCAGCTCCAAGTCCCCCAGGTGCATTTGAGGAAAACAACAAAGTCAGGTGATCCTTCAAGGCCTTGAAACCTAAAGCAGAGCTTTTCTCCTTTGTAAGGAAGGTCTTGTTGGGAAGACTATTCCAGAAAAGGCCAGTCTCGTCCACATTGAACACCTGTTAAGAGACAACATTTTAAATAAGAGAAACTGCCCAACTTTTCTGGTGGTAAATTTAAAATAAAATAACAAATTTAACAAGTTTACTCTTATCAATGGTCTATAGTCAACTTATAGCACACAAACTCATATCATTTGCCTGGTCAACAAGTAACACTTGCTTGCATGGTCAACTTGTAGCACATAGCTGGTGAGCTCAAAACCTCATTTTGATATTTTACTGTTGTTATGCATGTTTGTATACAGAAAGATACAAAAATCAAATTCTGCATAAATTACTTATTGAGAAACATTCTAAAGCTACCACATGTTCAATATACTGTATGTTATTGTTTTGTGATTGTTCATTGTGTTTGCTACTGCTTTTAGAGGAGGACTTACTAGCTGCAGCATCACTGGTTTACATAAGCAAACACAGAGAACAATCAAGATAACAAATATGTACTAGTTGACCAGTTATGTGCTATGAGTTGACCTGATATAGTTTTCACACACCTGCTCTGGAGAATAGCCTCCTTCCTTGACGATCGCTGCAAACTGGGCAGAGTAAGACGCCGCAGCAGTGTGATCAGCGCTCTCGCTCTCTCCCTGCAGCGCGCCCGAAAGTAAGTTTTGGGGTTAAGAACTTCTGCTAAATTCAAAATTATGTGGTTAGAGAAATTTTGAATTAAAAAGTTCTGAGAATTACAAGGCACTGTTAGTACCGATGATTGCCATTGCCACGCAAAATTGCAGATGTTTTCCTAAGATTGTTTTGCGTAAAACATGAAGTCGGTTGTTTTAGCATCATCGGAAAGTATACTTTCGAAGTACAGGTGACGCATTTTAGCACCATTGGAACATTTACTATCGAAGTACTGTATGGATAAAGTGTTTTAGCATCATCGGAATGCTAAAGTAAAATAAAAAAAAATAAAAAATAGTAAGGAATCACACGGCTAATGTGATGTGGTTTGTCAGAGTCTCTGGGTTATCAAGACACAGGAAGAAACGCAAAAGCCATAACAGTGTTAATCAAAATTCATCACACACTCTTTGAAAATGAGATGTGGAGCAAAACTGTAACACAGTCGAGTCACAACAGAATGAAACATTAGATGAACCAGAAAGAATTGAAGGCCAAATACCAACCTGACAATCAGATTACTAGCCAAACATATAACAAAATATTTACTATTCCTATGGCTGTAGTTGTAAATATTGTAAGAAAAACAAAAATTTGTTATAAATGTTTTACTGCACTTGTACTGTACTCTAAATTATACAATAGAGTTTGTAAGCATGACTCTTTCTGTGGATGGCCCAGCATACAAATGGCAGAGACCATAATTGTTGAAAATATTTATGTTCATAATGAGAATTTCTGTTAAATTTGGGTGTACAGTATAAATGGTACTCTCTCGCAATGCCACTAATATGCAAATGCAGACGAATTTGGTGATGGCACTTTGTCCATTTTAGAAAAAATCCAAAGTGAAGACAGTTTTAATGGCAAAGATTGAGAAAAATTCTCAGGGGTCAAATTTTAATTTTACAAGTATTGTACTACTGTTAGCCACAATATTGATGAACTTAAGTAAAAAATTAACCTTTTTTCTATTAGTATTCAAATTAGAAAAGGAAAATGCAGTAATGTTTAAATATTTTTTTTGTTTTTAAAATATTCACAAAGAAGTTTTCTATCATTTGTTATGAGGGAATTAAAAAAATTGGGTAATAGGGGAGAGCCGCACCTGTTGTTGATTTCACCCGCCCACATATCTCGGATACTATTCACAGTACGCAGGTATCAGCTGTACGGTTGAGAAGCCATAATATGGTAGCAAGCTCGACAAGAATCAAAATAGATCAAAGTGCATATGACAAACTAGTCAAGACAAACAGTTTCTTAATTTATAAGGCTAACTTTTCAGTGCAAGTCTGCATCTACTCTTATATAGAATCAATAACTTCTCGGAGTTATATGGAGTGGTTTACATGTATTTATTAGTGACTGATCCTGCTGTGCCGAGTGTGGTGAATCCAAATATTAAAAACTGGTTGACCGGTATGGTGCACATGGATCAATGAAACGAACCAGTTTTTTTCTTCTTCTTTTTTATCAGATAATGTTTTGCTGAAAACGTTTATATTTTATTCCAATGGTTTTAATTATTCAGTGCATCTATAATTACTGTACAATGAACTAATATGTGTATTTATGATTATTTTAATAGTCAAGCAAACTATATGTTTTCTTTTGATGTACAAGTATAGTCTTTACTTCTTCCTGTTTTATATTTTAAAATATAAAAAAAAGATGCACTGAATAGAAAGGACATAATGTTAAGACATTATTGAATAGAAAATATATACATTTTTGACAAAATTAAATACTGTAGGTCAAAATTGCAGTTACCAAAACAGGCGATAATATTCAGAAAATATGACGACATCCTGCATCCCTGAACTCGTCAAGGCACACAGACTATGTATAGGTATACCATGCTCTTGTGATAAATGTTCACATCCGTTCAGAATGCAAACACGGGTCACAATTATAAAACATACATTGCTACATCTTTAGATCACGACGTTCAGATTTGATATGACGGAGATGGCAGTTAAATCTGCGCATGGGTGACCTCTTAGTACACAAGATGTTTGTAAGAAGTATGGTATTAAATGACTACATTCAGTAAAAGTGCTTGTCATAATTAACACAAATAATACCAGACATATAGAAATTATTTTCATGTATTTATGAAATCATACAATGTTGGGTATCTTATTAAACAAAAATTATCCACAAACACATCCTATTTGCTTTTATTATCAGGACTATTAAAAGAAACAGATTATTGCCCGAGGTTAAAAAATGTACACGTAAGATCCATCAGATATTTACTGATGAAAAACAGCAGGTATCATTTTGTATCTTTCTTGTCGTGAAATACTTATAAGGTTTTCCTCTTCAAGGACCAAATTTCTGATGTAAAGAGATGTAATTCATTCAATCACTCGCATGGAATGGTGCAAGTGTGATGCTAATGTGCTTCAGGAACTGTCATTTTTACTCCAATCATTTATTTAATATTAAACAATTGGTAATATAGTGGAGAAGCCATAGTAAGATTTCTACATTTGCTTGGTAAGAAAACTGAATAAATAAACAGTAATGACATTTGAATTAAAGAATACAAAAAATTTAATATTAAATATTTTGCATTTTTTACTTACATGAAGTAGGGTTCGTATACAGAATACATATTATATGCCATACTGATATTTTCTTGAAGGTTTAATAAAAAAAAAAATGATTAACTTATTGTTTGGTGATTTATATACAGGAGAGTGGGGAAAGCCTTTCACATTCTATGACACATATCGGATAATATACAGGTCAGATGCAGCCATGGACTACAAAATAGTAAATGGACCAACCTGAATTGGTTCAAAACTGTGACCTCCAGAGATTCAAATAGGTTTTAGGGACAAACAATACCAGCTCTCCCCTAAAACGCAAATAAAGAAAAAATATACAAAAAATACTAACTTCTTTCACTTTCCAAATTGGGTTCAAGTCTGGACTTGAATGACTAGTGAGTGAATGTGAGTGTAAATCACAAAGACATTGAAACATGATCAACATGATAACATATAACCACAAAGTAACAGGAAATATTGAACTTGAGTGCTTTCTTATCAATTTCAACACATCCTTGTAAATAATGACAATGGACCTCAAATAAGTACAGTATGCAAGACCTCAAATATACAAGTATTGTATAATATTACAGTTTCAAAACACTTACATTTCCCAAATGATCTTACAACTAACTGGTGAGCAGAGCAAACACCAACCAATCAATTTGGTGATCATTTTCGGACTAATAAATAACCAAAGCATTAGACGCTGACCACCTCTAACAGAGAATTTATGGTGAGAAACTTTAGATTTAGTGTCTTCAGAATCTTGTCTTTATAATAATATGAATCACACTCTTCAAATAGTATTTTGTAAATAATGTGGTTATCAGTTATCACATACTCTATATATGTATGTGTATATGTATGTATGTTTAGTGTATGTACATGCATATACAATACCTGTATATATATAATTTTTGTTGTTGTTGTTTTACTGTTTTTTGATGAACAAAGATGCATCTACTTACTGGTCCTTCAATTTTTTCTGTCTTCTCTGTAGTTTCTTCATCTAGATCCATGTAATTTCCACCTTTACTCGGTTGTACTTTAGAACCTGTAGTAACCTCAGTGACTGTAGGTTCAGGGGCAGGGTCCTCCATGTCCCTGGTGAGATCTTCCTCCTCCTCTTCCATTTTGGTCTTTTTGACTGGTTTTCCCGGTGTGGTAGTGTTTCGTGATCTAAAAGTATAGAAATGTTTTTTGTTTGTACACTCATGGGTACAAGAGTAGATGATTTCTGACTTCCGTTAGCAAGCTTGGAGCTTTCCCTTACCTTAGCTCATGTTAAGCCTTACCCAACTAGTTTTTCCATTTGGAACATCCAAATGCAGCTGGGTGAAACAGGGACTAGAGCTAAGGATTGGTGCCCAGTCCTATCTGGGATTGGACTGGTGTTCCGATCCCATATAGGACTGGTGCCTACAGCTAGGTTCTAATCCTGGCCAGGGTTAGAACCCAGTTGCAATCACTCACATGGAATGGGGCGAGTGTGATGCTAATGCACCACAGGAACTGTCATTTTTACTCCAAACATTTATTTAATATTAATCAATTGGTAATATAGTGGAGAAGCCATAGTAAGATTTCTACATGTGCTTAGTAATACCCAAATAGATATTTATATCACATGTTTAGAATAATTTGCACTTTAGATTACAAAATGTATTCTCCAAATACTTACTGTAAGGATTATTCACACCTAATTTAAATGAATTCTGGCCAGCAAAATGTCCACTGATCAACAAAAGATGAAGGACACAATGTATGAAAGATAAAACTGCAGAATCATTTATAACGTCAACCAAACACTTTTCTTATTTGCAGAACAATCAAACAATGCCTACTGCCATTCAAATACCTGTAGTTTTCAATATGCAAGTAAAAATATTAGTGTTCAATTTTAACAAGTCTTAATGCTCAAATATTCTTAAAAAATAAAATTATATTTACCATCATTAATTATTAAAAAAAAAGTTAATACAAGTCTATAATATTAATAAATTGTAAATATAAATATATGAATGCACGCTGCAACAGTATTCTAATGAATTATAATAATCAAGAGTATTAGATTATACTGTACTATATTATTTCTGGTTTAATTGTGCACATAAGCTGCTTCTTGTCCTGTCTGTGAACACACTGGCTAGAACGCCATAAAAAACAAACGGCATTCTTTTCGAATCTTAATCTATTATTTCCATGCAATTTATGCACTTACAGGAGGCAAGATATATTTGAAAATCACAAAATGGGGGCCTTACAAAAGCCCCTACTTCTCTCTGGTGTAGTTCATTTACCAAATTTAAATATAAAAATAGCAAACAAATTCTTAGGGTTTAATTTAACTATTATGCGATACGTAGAACAAGAATAAAGAAAAACCGCAGAATGCCCACAACTTATTCAATTTGTACATTGATTGCTTAACACTCTATTTTGCATTGAAATACTCTCCAACACCAAAAACAAACTGAAATACTGCACCATACTACAAAAACAATCACTGTATCTACTAGTCTTACCCTTTCCTTTTGGAACGAGGTGACGGTGGCGATCGTGGTCTCTTTTTGGCTTTTTTCTTTTTATCTGGATCACTAAGGCCCATCGTGTCATCGACACTCAGGCATCCACGATGTTTTTTCTTGGTGCCATTGTCATCTACCTCATAATCTTCTTCATTCATCCACTCGTTGTAAGATTCCAAGTCTTGCAACCAGTTGGCACACACCTGGGAAAAAATTATTTATCTCCATTTCCCATGTTAACCCTTTCATATTAGGCCAGAGTTGAATATGTGAAATTAGTTCTTAATAACTGCAATGTGAAACATTTCCCCAGATGGTTGTAAAAACTTTGTGCAATGCTGAGATAATTGACCAGATTTAATGACTTCAAAATTGGCACTTGGACCCGAAAGTGGGCCTGTCAAGAATGCATTCAAAACACACACACACATGCATGAACACTTGCCTTTATCTACGATAATCTTATTTCTACGTTTAATTTTTACAAAATTGTTTTTTTAAACAAAAGATACACAAGTACAGTAGATGACATCTGACTTCATCTTTGAACATCGTGACATGTTATTAAAAACGTGCTATCTACAATACTGTACAGTACTGTATTTAATTAAATTTTGTAACCAGTGACTCGCATCAGAATATAAACTTTTATGTAAAACTTCAAGTGGACTGTATTAAACCAATAATGATCTCTCTGAATTATACCAACAATTATTATCTCACGTGGAAGACCACCTTAAATCCCAATATGCACAATTATAGGTTTACTTTAACTACTACTGTACCTTTTACCCAAGTCAAACAGTATGTATGATTTCTTCAAGCCAAGAACATTATAATTTTCATTAACAAAAACTAGGTCATATGCTCAAATTTTCTTCACTTCCACTTTACCAGTACAACACACACACTCACCTTCCACTGGCCATCAAAGAACTCAGTCTTACCTGGGACGCGGTCGGGTCAAGATACCTGCTCCGCACCTTCCCCCCCCCTCCCCCCATGCTGGGTACTGAGATGGAGACTCAGTCACCAGAAGACATGGCTACTTCTCACGGCGTTATTAACATGGACCCTGAAAGCAGCCAGTCAGACGAGGAGGGCGAGTATCTAGAAGTTCTGACAAGGAATAAGAAGAAACGAAGAAGACAGGAGGCAAGGCGTAGTGTGGACAGTAATACACTTAACGGAAACGATAAAAGAATGAAGAACGACGCCGAGACTGATGCAGACAAACGGACGGAACGATGTCAGGAAGGTGAGGATCAGCGGAGATGGAGGCTTCTCTTCCCTGCCTCATGCACGCTGGCCTATCATCAGAAGCTGCTGTGGACCGTCAAACTCGGAAGAGAACACCGCAAGTTCGAGCCCCTGCTGAAGGAAGGTGTAAACAGACCTTACTTAACGGTAGGTTCTATGGAGGCAGTGGAGTATCTTACCCAGCAAGGATACGATGGAATTCTTATGGAAATACCGGAGGGGAACGAGAAGCTGACGAAGGTAATTATCTATAAATACCCTCAGATTCTGGACCCCGAGTTTATACTCGACGACCAACGATTTGTGTGGGCCAAGCGTCACCTTATTAAAGGTGAAGCTAGGAGTCAGGTGGTGGCTCTAGTGAGAGGTGACGTACCCGAAAAAGTGTTCATCACCGGGGCTGGCTACAGGCATGTAGCAAAGTATGTGGAAGAGCCCATAATATGCCTGAAATGCTGCAGATGGGGGCATAAATCCTGGAGATGTCAAAATGATCCACGATGTCGTTTCTGCGGAAAGTCTCACCTCTCTACTGTGTGTAGAAACAGACTGAATCTGGGTGAGAAAATAGTTCCCAGATGCTGCAACTGTGGAGGTGTTCACAATGCGAGCTCGGCTGTGTGTAGCAAGAGGCCGAGTATGGCTGTTCTCCGGCCGGTGAATGTTACAGAGCAAGCAAGAGCTCTTACCCAGACACCGGGAGCACAGCAAAACAGTCTGCCCCAAACAGTGCCAGTGAACCGGACGAATGCGTGGGTAAAGGAGTCACCTTTACTTAGGCAGGCTCCAGCAACAAGCAGCCACGCCACCACTCAGGACTCCGGCAGTGACAGTGTAACGGTGAGTGAAGTGGCTACTGTGGCTCAGAGAGAGGGTCATAATAATATGGTCAAGGAAGTGTGGGCTGAACTTAAAAAAGTTGGTGAGTTCCTCCAAAATCTGGGGCAGAGAATCGAGTCCATCGAGGCTAAATTAAACGTTCAGGAGGTCAAGGAAAATCACAAAACGGTGAAGGATAGTCAGGATATAGTGGTTGAGGACAAAAATGAAATATTGAGTGATGAAATGAAGGAAAGTGAAGTGTGTGTGAATGATGGTAGTCGTAGTGAAAGGAAGAACCCTATAATTACACATAAAATGAAGGAATCATTTGGGCCAATAATGGACATCTCAGGGCTGAAAAAATCTCTTGAGAATCGCAATGTCGCTTTTACTGGTGAACTTGGGAGGAGGTGGGAGATGTTATACAAGGTATGGCTATCATTTAGTGAACTTATTGGGGATGACTTAGGCAATGAATTGATTAATAATGGATCACCCTAGACTGAAAGTGTTGTCATGGAATGTTAATGGTTTGAGAAACAGGGTTACAGATGTTCATTGTTATGTGATGGGAAATGATATTGATGTTGTAGCTCTCCAGGAGACAGGGGATAGGAATGAAGGATTATTGAAATTAAATGGCTATAAAGGGTTTCACCTCTTCGCTGCAAATAACATCAGAGGCACGTCGATTTATGTTAAGAACTCCATACCAGCAGAGTTAGTAGAACCGCCATCAAAAACGCAAGGTATAGAGAGTGTCTGTGTTAAATTATCATTAAGGGAAGGGGAATTTATTGTAGTTAATTTGTATGTATCCAGGAACTGCTTCGACGCTAACTATTTACCTGACTGCATTTATACTAATCCTTCACTGGTCATTGGGGACCTTAATGCTCGGCACACAAGCCTTGGGACAGTGGGTAGTATTAATACTAATGGGGTCAAGTGGTTACAGTTTCTACAAGATCATCCAGATACCTGTCTATTGGGAAACAATGAACCAACTCACATCAGGGGAGGACGGCTTGACTATGCCTGCGTTTTAAACTCTCAGGGGATTATGGGGGAGGCTCGGGTTGTTCGGGAACTACTTAGTGACCACTTTGCCTTGAACGTTGAATTACCACTGGGGAAAAAACAAGTCCACTTTCAAAGGAAAAGGCTAAATATTAAGAAAGATATGAAAAATTATTTTATTCAAAATATGGGAGATTGGTATCAACATTACACGCCGCTCTGCGTTGATAGTTTTTACGAGGACATGGTCGAGAACATAGAGAAATTAGTACAGAGGGAAAATAACGGGGGCAGGGGAAGCAAGACGCACGGACCTAAGAAATTTAAATATTCCAATGATCAGCAAGTCAAGGGATGGGAGAGAATGCTACGGGGTGCGCATAAAGCATGGTTAAAAAATGGAATGAGGGATGAAGAGAAAAATACAATGTTGGAAGTGGCTAGGGAATGCAGTCAGGTGAGGAAGGAGGCGCGGGACAGATACTGGCAAGACTTTGCTCAGGCCATTGGTAATACTAAGAACCTTAAAGACATATGGAGAGCAGTAAATAAAGTCAGGGGTTGTAAGACTAAATTCATTGCTCACTCAGATCCAGGGAAAGTTGCTAATGAGTTAGTAGATAAATGGGCAAGTGCTGCTGGTATGGAGTCCTTACCTGCAGACACGAGAGTCACCATTGAGTCATGGGAAAATATTAGAAATGGAGTAACTTTATGTGCCTTAAATACAAGATCTATAGCATGCACTGAGATAACCCACGATGAGCTACTGGATGCTATAAAAAGTGGCAGCTCCACTGCTCCGGGAAAAGATGGAGTAACGTATGACATACTTAATTATTTAGCCGGTATGAAACCTAATCCCTTACTTGATTTGTTTAATATGAGTTATAGAGAGGGAAAGTTACCAAGAAAATGGAAAGAGGCTGTCATCATTCCTATCCCTAAGTCAAACGGAGGCTACAGACCTGTCTCCTTAATATCCTGCTTTTGTAAAATGATGGAAAGGATTTTGTTAAATAGGCTACTCTACCTTGTAGGTGATAACATGTCCAATAATCTCTTTGGTTTTATCAAAGGCAAAAGTACTGCGGATTGTCTCTTAAAGTGTTTGTCTAATGTGGATGACAATTGTAGAGTTTTTGTTGATCTACAAGGAGCGTTTGATAAAGCCAATGGGGAAGTAATCTTATACGAATTAGCCAATCTGGGAATAACAGGGAGATTGCTACACTGGATAAGGGATTACCTGCAAGGCAGAAAAGGTCAGGTGTATTACCAGGGATACATGTCTGAGGAACGGAGGTTTCAGTTAGGTACCCCACAAGGGGGAGTATTAAGTCCCACCTTATTCAATGTATTAATGAACAGATTAGCATCAGAGATGTATCCTCCAGGGGTCACGACGATCATATATGCTGATGACATTCTTATACAAGGCACTTCTGGGAACAAAATTCAAGATGCTCTTAACATACTTGGTACAACCTGTCACAAGTTAGGCTTAGTTATAAATGCAGATAAAACCAAATACGAGTATAGGAAACGAAGAAATATAACACTTACTCTAAATGGTGTGGAACTGAGCCGTGTACAGAAGTACAAGTATCTGGGCATGTATGTTGGATACACATGTGAGAGTAAAAATGCTGAAATAAATCATATCAGCACCTTATGTAAAGCCCGTCTGCATCCTCTAAAAGCACTGGCTTTTTCTGGTAAAGGTGTTGGGGTACCTATCTTGCGGATGTTATACATAAGCACTGTTCGATCCCTGATAGACTACGCAGCACCCGTATTGTCTTACACAGGCCAAGGCAGAATTCAAAAAATAGAGCTGATACAGAACGAGGCTATGAGGATTATTCTTGGATGTCAAAGAAATGCAATGATTGAAATAATGAGAATGGAATTAAATTTACAGAGTGTGTGTGATAGAGTCCGTGACATTAACACTAGAGTATCTATTCGTTTCATGCGGAGAAAAGGAGGGGATAAGCTGTTTGAGAGCGTTCAGACCTGCTTGAGTGACGTACACACTTCCAGGAAACTGAGGGAGACACGCTATACGAGAGGATTAGCTCATGACCTCAGGGAATACGACGTACTTGACTGCTGTAAACCCTCTCGAAAGTGTAATATGTCTGCTCCCTGGAAAGTACAGAAAATAGACGTCGAAATTGTACCCCTCAAGGTGAAAAAGATTCATCATGAACCGGGACAATTACGGTGTTTGTATGGAAGCATGATATCTCGGTTACCAAGAGGCAACAGTTTACATGTATATTGCGACGGGTCGGTGGCGGAGGATGGCAGGGCAGGGTGTGGTGTCCTAATAAGGGATTATACGGAGTTTGGGACTGTGGACAGGATAATTGAACTCCGGCTTAGTAATTATATATCATCCACACAAGCTGAACTGCAGGCCATTCTGGCGTGTTTGGAGGAAGTACGTCATGACGACAAAAATGTTTTTGTATTTGTCGATAGCCGAGGAGCACTGGAGTCCTTAAACAGTCGAAACCCAGTCTTCATGTCTATAGTGGAGGACTGTAAGAGAAGAATAACTGAGATACAGCTGAAAGGTTATAGTGTGAAATTCATGTGGATTCCATCTCATGTTGGAATAGTGCTCAACGAGGTGGCGGATGACTTGGCCAAACGTGCCACATCAAAACCACAAGTTGACATTGAATGTGAATTCACAATGAGACAAATAAGAAGCAAAATCAGAAATATTCAGGCACAGGCGGGAGTGGAGAGGAGAGAGATAATGTATGAGAGTAGTCAAACCATGCAACACTACATGTATGTGAGTCAAAACACCCATTTCACTTATGGTAAAAGGAGAAATGCTTGGAGTGACTCTGTGTACATGCGGCTCAGGCTTGGGTACAAATATTACTGGGAATATGGGATAGATGTTCATGGTAATGACACGAAGTGTAAACTATGTGGTATGTTAAGGTCTCACACCCTTGCCCATTATATTCTTGATTGTCCGTTGATTAGTGTATATAGAAACACTGAGATAAGGACTGTTCCTGAACAAATAGCCTGGATGTGTCACAACGGAAAGGTTGATGATATTCTTGAGAGATATAAGAATTTTGCACCAAGATTGTAATATTTTGTTGAATTATCTGCAGGTGTCTTGCAAATTGTCTATACAGTATACCTAGGTCATAAAAGTATTTGTGTGTACGTCTGATACCATACTACTTGTGAGGGAGGAAATGTATATGTTTACCTCTCAGAATGTTTGGTAATATGTTTATTTGTGATGTGTGTATATGTATATATTAACACGTTGTACTGAACGGGGTGAGAATAGCTTGAGCTACCTCATCCCTTTGTGTGTATTTTACCTCAATAAACTTATTTCAATTTCAATTTCAATTCAATTTCACTATCAATCAGCACAGGAGAAAATAATTTTTAAATACATTGGCTCTCGATAGTTCAAGAAGGAAAAAACTATAGCATAAATGAAGTGGATATCAATAGCCCCACACACACAAACACACACACACACACACAAAAGCAAAGTTACAGACAGAGGGAGCTGACAATGAAGTCTGAAGTATTTGGGGGATTCTAATTATTGCTTGGAAAAGGTTCTGAGTGTGCAAGACGTTTCTTTCACAGTATTGCGAGTCGATCAATGGTGGATTGAGGTACAGTACTCTACACTGTCTCCCTGCACCAATTACATGGCACGACTATCTAAAAAGTGTTGTAGTAGGGAGACATTACAGCCTGAGAATCAATGGTGACCTGAGTGGACCATATGGGCAATGGCTACATGAACACCTTAAAGGAAAAAAACAATGATTAGGTGATTAAAAAGCATACATACATATATATGGCAACAAATAACACACTGGATTGACTTACAAAAGGTACGTAAATTGTTTATCATGAGTGAAAAAGGTTTCTACAATAGTAGATTTCCATGGGGAGACAATATCAGCCATGCAGCTGTCAGATAATACCCATAAAATTTACCTTTGTTGTTATAATACACTTTCTCATCTACTTCATTTCATAATGAAATGGAGTGAATCAACCTCGTGTAAATCCTCACCCTCATCAATGCACATTATCCAATGATATACAGAATATCAATTAAATATACATATATATTTTTATAAATTACATCTAACCATTACTTTCATGGCAAACACCAATGATAAACAACTAAGAACCAATTTCTAAAACTCCTCCATACTGTATACTGTACTGTAAATTTAATAAACAAAATTACTAACCCACAATCTTTCCGTCATGTCTCTTGACAATGTCTTTAAGTTCATTGCGGAGTTCCTTATCTACTTCACCATGAATGAAGACTGATGGTTTACTCCAACATTTGTTAGAAAGCAAACTCTTCTCAATTTCCCGAAAGAGTTCTACATTTGCATCTTTGCGGGATGGAGACTGGAAAAGACAAAAGTCTGATAAGAAATGATATCTAGGTGATATCTAGAGAATAAGTCAAGAACATGGCTGAAAATTTATAACCCTACCCACACATATAAAGGGCCAAAACATTTCACTTTTCAGGTGTGGAGGTTGGGTTATTAATATGTAATTCTGAATCTGTAGGAAAACAGATTTCACACAATTGTTTAATACCTTAAACAATAAGACCACAAGAATAGAGGAAACTGCAGAAGGCCTATTGGTCTACATGTAGCAGCTTCTATTTATATTCACCCAAGCTCATTCATATACACTATAGTATATGAAGGAGTTTAGGTGGATACAATCCAGCAATCCCATCTATTATGTTACAGGGTAATTTGTTTTATACATCATCTGTAATGAGTGATAGTTAGATAACTAATATAGCTAACCTATTAACCATCTCTGAACTTAATTACAATGTCATTGCTGCTGGTAATAATTACAATGATAATTACAATCATTTCTGCTGGTAATGTTTGATAAAAAGTTCTCCACTTCCCTCGATTTAAATAGTATTCTAATATAAAAAGTGAACACAATTTTAATACTGGCCTACATACCTGAAAGTCGAACCTACGCCAACCTTGGTCACTTTTGAATTTATACACTGTACTTAGAATGTGACATAGTCCACCGCCAGGTTTGAAGTCCAGGAAACATTTCATCTGCAAGAAGTTTAATTACAGTAAGACACTTTCCTTATGAGTATTACTCATTTGCAAGTTTTCAAAACATTCAATAATTAAACAAAAACTTTATAGAGTACAGTACTGTACTATATATATAAAATGGGAGAAAAAAATCATCACATCACACACTCGGATACCTATGAATTTGTAATTTTAGTCATCTTATTTCTGTTCATTCTTCAAGGCACCAGTTCAATATCCTGAGAATATTTCATCATACTGACTTGAAACTTAAAATGATCAAGTGTGTAAAAAAAAAAGGTACAGTTGCTATTAAGTGATGATGATGGTGGTCTGTATATGTGGTGGTGTATTTGGTGATAACTGGAATATGCTCCCAGTTAATTAGGACGAAGAATCAAATTTGTCCAGATAATCTGAGAATCAAAAACTAAAAGGTGATCTGAATAACAGGGGTTCCCTCGTACTGTACAGTACATCACTTGGGGTTCAATAATAATGACCGAGAACTATAATTTGTATATTAAGTTGCCCAGTCTAAAGACATCAGCTGTATGAGAAACTTGTACTGATATATTTCTGGCCTCACATTAAAACCATAAGACTTTTACTTTTCTATTTTTATTTTATTTTATACCATGCTTTATGCAATAGTAATATTTTGTTAGGCATGACCAACATTTGGCACTAATTAATGACTGGCAACTTTGTTTTGTGACATTTATTCCAAAATTGAATTGAATATCTTTATTGATTCATGCAATATATATACCAGTATGTAAATTAGTTTCAGTAAAATTATCTATGATTGCAATTGAGATTACTTGAGCAAGGAATCTGTGGAAACATTTTGGTCCACCAACGCTTATCGAAATTCAAGATATTCCAAAGGTGTCACCCAAGTCCATCACTTAAAACTGCAAACTTCTAAATCTGTCTTTGGGGAGTTCCATAACCCAATAACTGTGAGGATCTTCCTTGTACCATTATATGTTACTGTTTAAAGTGTTACACTTTATTTGTCAAACCATTATCTTAATTATGAGCAAAAAGCCTACTGAGAAAAATAGGTACCGGTACTTCTTTTTTTATAAATACAGTGGAACCTCAGTTGACGAATGCCCCTCATAACGAATTTTATGGTTTTCAGGCTAAATTTCTTTGTAAAATTCGACTAGGTATTCGAAGTTTACCTTACTCGAGTTTGTTGATACACGTATGGGTTGACGAGCGCGTAGATCTGCTGGGCCTGGGCGAGGCACACCCCAGTATACCAGTGTATCCCACCTAGTGACGATCACGCTTTAATTCTTTGTGAAGAAATTCATTGTTTTTCTGATTTTTTGGTTTCTGAACATAAAAGTTTTTATTATATATCATGCCATGGGTCTCAAGAAAGTCAGTGGTAAAGTTCAACCTAATAAAATAATTGTGAGGATGACGATAGAGGAAAAACAAAGAGACGTGATGTCTCACTACAGACATGTGTTAAAATGTAGGGAAAAACAAATGTTTATAGACAGATGCTTAGTAAGACAAGCATGCAGTGAGCTACAACCAAGTCCTAGTGGCATGCCTGCAAAACATAAAGAGAGAGAGAGTACCCCAGAAATATCATCCCAGCCTGTTATAATGGAAGGGGACTCCCCTTCCAAACACTAACACCTCCCCTTCTCACCATCTTCCTTATGCCAACAAGAGTCCTTAATAAAGGTAAGATATTCTGTAGAACAAAAAATTAGTATTCTATATAAAATGTATTTTTAAATTATATTTTTGGGTGTGTGGAACGGATTAATTTAATTTACATTATTTCTTAAGGGAACATTCAATTTGTTTTTCGAATTTTCAGTTGATGAACCATCTCTGGGAACAGATTAAATTCATAAATGAAGGTACACCTGTATAAGGTTTCCCTACCAGAGACATCTAATGTAGAGGATAAGTCAGTTTTTTAAATACACTACACAGCAATAATGACGTACAGGCAGCTTGGTCATAGGGGCCTTGGTAACCTTTGGACCAAAATTATCTTCCATGAATTGAAGCAGCTGTACCACCAGCTGTGACAGCCCCTTGTTGTTTGGGGGATCAGCTTGCACATGCTGGAAATGAGAAAAATTGGATATTAATGTTGATTAATGATACCAATTTTGTATGCACAACCCAAGCTACATTTTCTCACCTAACAGATACTGTTAGAAAAAGTAATTTTTACCATTTCTGACATTGAACAGAAAAAGTAGCACTGAAAACATATCTACACCAATTTATCTACAATTTACACTTACACCAATTTTAGTGTAATAATGAGAAAATTGCTTTTCGTCATGAATTTAAGCTTCATTACCTTGAAAATTATTAAATAAAACCAATCATATATTGCACATCACTTTTTCATTTCTTTATATTATCGAGAAATTTTGGTATTAAGAAAACTTGTCACATTTCCGAGTAGAAAATCAACTCATCACTATATGGTCAACTCATTACACATGCAGACAAGTAGTCACAATAACGTGGCTGAAATGTTGAAATGAGTATGTTGACCAAACCACACACTAGAAAGTGAAGAGACGAAGACGTTTCGGTCCGTTCTCGTCCATTCTCAAGTTGACTGTGAAACGTCGTCGTCCCTTCACTTTCTAGTGTGTGGTTTGGTCAACAACTCATTACACATTTAATATAATGTATAATAATTATGCATTTATAGCATAGTCAAAATGAGTATCGATACTTTTATTTTAGATACAATATAAATTTATTTAAATATTTACTAGTGTACAATGTTTTTTTGTAAAAAATGTATGAAATACATTTATATTAATACAATGAAAAGCTACAAATTATATAAAAGAACATTCTTTAAAAGTCACTAACATGTATATTAATTAATTCAGGCATGATTTAAATAGGGAATTATTTTTGTTGCTAGATTTGCTTGGTTATTTTATGCTTATTTCTGACTATTCTGTATACACATAATTATTGTATAACAAATGTGTAACAAGTTAGTGTGAGCCGACTTGAAAATGTCTGTCGACTGTAGCCAGTTTTTCTCGTAAAGCCAGCATATATACACAAGGTTTTAATAAAAGAGGAGTTTATTCCCTTTTCATTGATATATAACATAGAAATCAACACTTTGAATGCTACAAGCACATCAAACTCTCTAATTAGGTGCCTCACTGCGGTGATCTCACAGAAACTTCAAAATATATATGAAATCAAAACCAAATTTCCTACATTTTTATATTAAGTTACTCAAAGATTTTTTCCTGTTAACACATATTTCACCAAAATTATTCTGTGATGAAATGAAATAGACGAGGCTAACACAAGCAACACACACACACACACACACTCCACCAATGGGTATTGTAACCAAGCAGAGGCCTTTCCTTTCCCTCTCTCCAGCTTCTTATGAGAAAAGTAAACACGGCAGGAGACACTTAATCATTTCCTTCGGACTGAGCGTGCCTCTCCCACACAACAATGAACTACGCCTTCAAAAGAAATTACTAACTCTGTTCAACCTAGACCACCACCCGGCGAGCCAACGAGACTCTCATTATCTATCATATTCTCGCTAAACTACGCAGTCTGGGTCTTCCAAACCTTTTTCGCATTTTTCATTAGCCACGTCTTAACGTGCTCGAACTGAGAAACAGTCTCGGTGGACTCGTAGTATTTGACATTAGGGCCTCCATCCTTCCTGGGGTTGATCGCCATCTCGCCAAAAACAAACACAATCCAAACAACAAAGATGGCGGGCAGCGTCGGTCATGACACGCACCCCAAGACAAACTTCTCTTTCTACTAAATTTATCCTCCTATTAAAAACGATATTAATAATAATATAAGTTATACTAATCATATTTTATATATAAACAAATATTATGTGTGGAATGAAGTATAATTTTAATATAAGTATTTTTATATAGCGACTAATCACTTTTTGTTATTAATAAGCTTAGGTATACACAGCAATGTGCTGTTACCCTATTCTATATGAAAGATTGCACTATGTAAATAAAAAACTAGCTATAAGTTCATCTAATATCCCCATCTCACAGTTTAGTTAGTTTAGTTCATTTATTATGCACCCCATACCCATCTTGTGGGCGGTAGTGGAAAGGGTTATAGAGGCACATAATGGGCTCAGGGACTGAACCCCACAATTCATTTAGCTAAGCAAGTTACAATCTTGATGAGCTAGTTACAAAATTCAGTACAAGTCGTCACATTAACAATGGGTTCGAGATCGACCACAAGTACAGTTTCTAAATTAAGCAACTGACATATGTGGAGAGGTAGTGTCACAATTGATATGTTTGTCTCATAGGATAGTTATTCATACATAGTTGTGGTCCCCATGGCACAGTGGTAAAGCGCTCGCAGGGCGCTTCGCGATATACTGAATAATATTTGGCCTGGATTATTCAGGGGAAAATTAGGATTAAGGACCTTCCCGAAACGCTATGCGTGGGCTATACAAGAATGTTAGAACTCGTATAAATAAATAAATAAAATGGAATCAGGAGAGAACATGAAATGCCAGACTGATCTATTAAATAACCTTTACTAGCTATTATATGGGTACAGGACAACTGCACAAGAGTATCTTCCAATATTCGTGAGTGTATGAGGTAGTTACAGAGCTCAAAGTACCTGTTGTTGTTGTTGTTAAAGATTCGCTACCTGGAACAAAGTTCCAAGTAGCACGGGCTATGGTGAGCCCGTAGTGGAGTTAAAGTACCTTATACCATACCACCGCTCCGGAATATCCCTGAAAAAAAATACCTGCGTTTTTGCTAGAAAAGCTGTGCGTATTAATGACTTCAGGCATTGTATGTGCTAGCTCTATCTATTAATCCGACATTATGATTGTAACTCATTTTCAATTTTTTCCTGAATAAATATCTTATCTTATATCATTTGGTCTGACATAATTGATAACAGGGTAATCACGCGTACAGCATTTCGGAGAAAAGTACAGTAATCTAATTTAATTTGTAAAGAAAAATAGCAGCATAATAATTAATTCACGTTGTTGGGAACAAGAAGCCAAATAAAACTTGCTAATAACGTTTGAAAGATCCAAAGCCTTTCTATGCCTATCCAACCTATCCTCGACTCAAATCAAGTCCATTACATCCAGCGGTCGACCCCACAGGAGCATTCATAAACTTTTACATGCTGTTCATGCAAAACGGGAATTTTCTCAAATATAAATTAATATTATAATATATTAGCATATTGTGCATATATAGGCATAGGTTAGGTTAGGTGTTTAGGTTCTTTTGGCGATTATTTGTATTTGTAGTACGTGGGTGAAGCATTTACAGCGTTGTGGTTCGAACATAATTCGTCAGTGAAGCACTTGTTCTGGAAGTGTTCGAACGTCAGCAGTTGTGAGTCGTGTGTAAACCGCTTTTCATTCATAAACAGAAGGTTTGGCGGGTGCATGGAATCACTTTTGAATCTTTGCTTGGAGGACGGGATATAAGACCTAAAGACAAAACGGGTTCGTTCTCAACTCACAATCAGGAATTCTTGGTTCGAATCCCGGGTGTGACAGAAATGGTCGAGCGCGTTTCCTGTCACCTAATGCACCTCTTCACCTAGCATTAAAGCAGTACCATATGGAGTCAGTTTGTTTGTTGTGGGGGGTGTATCATGGGGAGGGTCAATGGTTTAATGGCGGTGTCATGGTGTTAAAGGTGTCATGGTGGTGTTAGAGGTGTCATGGTGGTGTTAGAGGTGTCATGGTGGTGTTAGAGGTGTTCCGGTGGTGTTAGATGTGTTATGGTGGTGTTAGAGGTGTTCCGGTGGTGTTAGATGTGTGGTGGTGATGTTGGAGGTGTTCCGGTGGTGTTAGATGTGTCATGGTGGTGTTAGATGTGTTCGGGTGGTGTTAGAGGTGTTCTGGTGGTGTTAAAGGTGTTCTGGTGGTGTTAGAGGTGTCATGGTGGGGTTAGAGGTGTCATGGTGGTGTTAGATGTGTTATGGTGGTGTTAGAGGTGTTCCGGTGGTGTTAGAGGTGTTATGGTGGTGTTAGAGGTGTTCAGGTGGTGTTAGAGGTGTTATGGTGGTGTTAAAGGTGTTCCGGTGGTGTTAGAGGTGTTCGGGTGGTGTTAGAGGTGTCATGGTGGTGTTAGAGGTGTCATGGTGGTGTTAGAGGTGTCATGGTGGTGTTAGAGGTGTCATGGTGGTGTTAGAGGTGTCATAGTGGTGTTAGAGGTGTCATGGTGGTGTTAGAGGTGTCATGGTGGTGTTAGAGGTGTCATGGTGGTGTTAGAGGTGTCATGGTGGTGTTAGAGGTGTCATGGTGGTGTTAGAGGTGTCATGGTGGTGTTAGAGGTGTCATGGTGGTGTTAGAGGTGTCATGGTGGTGTTAGAGGTGTCATGGTGGTGTTAGAGGTGTCATAGTGGTGTTAGAGGTGTCATGGTGGTGTTAGAGGTGTCATAGTGGTGTTAGAGGTGTCATGGTGGTGTTAGAGGTGTCATGGTGGTGTTAGAGGTGTCATGGTGGTGTTAGAGGTGTCATGGTGGTGTTAGAGGTGTCATAGTGGTGTTAGAGGTGTCATGGTGGTGTTAGAGGTGTCATGGTGGTGTTAGAGGTGTCATGGTGGTGTTAGAGGTGTCATGGTGGTGTTAGAGGTGTCATGGTGGTGTTAGAGGTGTCATGGTGGTGTTAGAGGTGTCATGGTGGTGTTAGAGGTGTCATGGTGGTGTTAGAGGTGTCATGGTGGTGTTAGAGGTGTGGTGGTGAAGGGTTGGCTGTCGATGAGTCATCGCTGTTGTCACTTGATATTGAGGTGAGGGCGGGAGGCAGGCCGGCCTGATACTATTACCGCCGCCTCCTCCCCCCGCACACTCCCTCCTTACTCTCCCCTCCACTCTCTCCCCCGCCCTCCATATCCACCCCCTCCCCTCCACTCTCTCCCCCGCCCTCCATATCCACCCCCTCCCCTCCACTCTCTCCCCCGCCCTCCATATCCACCCCCTCCCCTTCACTCTCTCCCCTCCCTCTACACTCCCTCCACAACCCCCTCCAAACCTTCAATTCGTCTACCTTGGTTACTGTAGAAGCAACATGGAAAGCAAATGACTGGCACCTCGGAGAATAAAGGGGGAATTTTACTTATTATAAATAGCTAGGGCTGCTAGGCAGAGGCGGATGATAGGCATAATCAATCCCAAATCATGCATGACGTCCCAGCTGTGTCTGGGGTACAAGTGATGAACAACCCAGCGGGTTTTCTTCCTATTTGGGAGTGTTGTACATGCTGCTATGGCGGTGTGTCCAATCACAGGATGAGTGGCGCCGCCCAATAAACTCGCCCCTCGGGGCAAAATAAAAAAAAATTAAGGAGAATATTTTATTTAGATCACAACAAAGTCTGTTAATTAAGTTGAGAGGCACATTCAGATAGTTCCTTTTAACTTAGAGGTGATCTAGTGTAAACGGAGTACAATATCCACAAATGCTTGAAAATTATTAATTCCATGAACTTCACTCTCTGAATCACTTATTGCAAGTTCTAATCTGTAATTAATTCAGTGCCAGATTATTATATCAGGGTAATGTTCCTTGAGAATTGTGGCAACGCCAGACTTGACACCAAGCATGACGCTTGCACCATCACTACCAAATTATTCATGGTTCTGTTTCAAATATAAGTCATCAACCCCATCATATGTGAGACAGCATCACCCACAAGCCATCAGCTCTCTTTCCCTTCATACTCTCTCACTTTCCCCTCATCCTCTCTCCCTTTCCCCTCATCCTCTCTCCCTTTCCCCTCATCCTCTCTCACTTTCCCCTCATCCTCTCTTCCTTTCCCCTCATCCTCTCTCCCTTTCCCCTCATCCTCTCTCACTTTCCCCTCATCCTCTCTCCCTTTCCCCTCATCCTCTCTCACTTTCCCCTCATCCTCTCACATTATATATTTAAATGAGGACGCCTTCAAGGTAATCTATCAGAGAGGACGTAGTTGGAAGCTGGAAACGCAAATGAGTCTAAGAAATGTAAGCTCCTACCCTGTCCGTGTGGGCAACAGGTGCAATGTGCTATAAAGAAGTAGTTATGGAAGCCACCGCCATACACTTTTTTAGGGATAAATTGGACAAGGAATTCGAATATTAGGGGGTAGTTACGTTATAAGGCAAGAGGTACAAGAAGGTATGTAGGCGTGGCATAAAGAGTTAGGCCTCACTCTTTCGTAGTCACTAATAGGTAAGTACTCTCTCTCTCTCTCTCTCTCTCTCTCTCTCTCTCTCAACAAAAGCCCACACAAGAGCAGACGATACATAAGAGCATGAGGCACCCCAAGAGAGAGACATGAGGTGTTGTCTGAAAATATAACCCACAGCCAGGCAAGACCAACTCACTACAATGGATAAGACCTTCACACACATATTCATTCATGAACACTCATTCACATCACACTCATGCATAAAGCCGGGCTCCACATAAGCGCGGGCACACGCACGCACGCACACACACACACACGCACACAAGGTAAGGTAATTGTCAGGCGAAAGCACACAACCATTACGACTATATAGCAAAGAATATACGTACATACATATGCAACAAATGCTCCAAAGATATGCAAGAAGACTTGATACTGAGCTGATGGGTCTGAGCTACGAGGACTGACTGAGGGGGGACTGCATGGATCCCACCACACGAGAGTGGAGACATAGCGGAGACATGATAACGACATACTGAATACGATTCCAAAGGAAAATAACTAGACAAATAACCAAT